GCCGCACTGTCAGAGGGTCAGTGCCGAGGGAGCGGGCACTGTCGGAGGGTCAGTGCTGAGGGACAGCCGCACCCCTCTCTGGGTTTGGAGCTTCAGTGCTCCCAGGGTGCTGCAGAGGGATTGCTTTCTGGAATTTCACTCTCAAGTCTCTGAGAGTTCCAATATTTTTGACTCTAAGGCGAGAGAGAGAGAGATGGAGGTGGAGAGATTGTGAAGGCGAACGTGTGAACTACACACTGAGCAGAGCTGCCTCGTGCCATGATACACAGGCCTCGAAAACTGTTTCTGTTCAGTCGGGCCAGAAACTATTGGCTTTGCATTCGGGCCAGGCTCAGTTAAGAGAAAATAATGACCAGCTCACATGCCCTGCCCCTACCTCGTGGTGCAGTGAAAGTTCGTCATTTGCCAACTGCTGCTGCCCTCTCTCTCCCAGGAACTGAATCTCTCCATTTTCCTTCTGCCCAGTGGCTGGAATATAAAAAGGTATTAAACTGTGAATGCAATACTCTCTGGTGCACTCCTCAGCTCTGTCCTCCCAGTTAGATTCACACTTACATCACCCGCTCAAAAACCCACAAATAAGAACACACAGGTAAGGCATTCCACAGTCTGTACCTCAGCCCAGACCCGACAGGTGGGTCAGGGAACGGTTACAGCACAGAAGGAGGCCATTCAGCCTTTTGTGGCTGTGCTGGTTCTCTGCAAGTGCAGCTCCCCTCACACCCAACCCCACCTTTCCCCTGTAACGCTGCACACACTCCTCCTTGACAAATGATCTCTTTTGGAAAGCCTCGATTGAGCCTCCGTCCTACACTGTCATGTGGCACGTTCCGGATCCTCCCCCCTCGCTGTTTTGAGAAAACACTTCTCGCCCATTTCATCATGACACCCAATCTGATTGTGGCCTTAACTCTACTTTCCCATGACCTTTGTCTCTGTTCTCAATCAAAAATCTAACTCAGCCTTGAGTACGTTCGGTGATTCAGCCTCCGCTGCTCTCTAGAGGACAGAATTCCAACCCTTAACGATCCCCAGAGAGAAGAAACTCCCCCCTCATCTCCATCTTCAGTAGGACATTCCTTTATTTCCTAACTACGTCCCCTAGACTCATTCACGAGGGGAAAGAACCACTTAGCATTTATCCTATTAAGCACCCCTGACACATCAGAATCTTCTGTGTCATTTGTATAAACAATTTGGATGTGAACATAGGAGGTTTGGTTAGTACGTTTGCAGATGACACCAAAATTGGAGGTGTAGAGGACAGGGGAGAAGGTTATCTCAGAGTACAACAGGGTCTTGATCAGATGGGCCGTAGAGTCATACAGCACGGAAGCAGACCCTTCGGTCCAACTCGTCCTTACCAACCAGATATCCTAAATTAATCTAATCTCATTTGCCAGCGTTTGGCCCATATCCCTCTAAACCCTTCCTATTCATGTACCCATCCAGATGCCTTTTAAATGTTGTAACTGTACCAGCCTCCACCACTTCCCATTCCATACACGCACCACCCTCTGTGTGAAAAAGTTACCCCTTACATCCAAATTAAATCTTTCCCCTCTCACCTTAAACCTATGCCCTCGAGTTTTGGACTCCCCTACCCTGGGGAAAAGACCTTGGCTATTCACCCTATCCATGCTCTTCATGATTTTATAAACCTCTATAAAGTCACCCCTCAGCCTCTGACGCTCCAGAGAAGATAGCCCCAGCCTATTCAGCCTCTCCCTGTAGCTCAAACCCTCCAACCCAGCGACATCCTTGTCAATTTTTTCTGAACCCTTTCAAGTTTCACAACACCTTTCCTACACCAGAGAGACCAGAACTGAATGCAGTTTTCCAAAAGTTGAAGGGAGGTGGGAGGGGCTGGGGGTTTTTCGGGGAGAGATGAAATGACAACGGGGATGGAGGTTACAAAAATAGGAATTGCTGGAAAAGCTCAGCGGGTCTGGCAGAAACTGTGGAGAAAAATCAGAGTTAATGTTGCAGGTTGAGTGACCCTTCCTCAGAAGGGATGGAGGTTTCCAAGCAACAAGGAGATGCTGAAGGGGCACGCGAAGAGGGATAGAACCTTTCAAAGCACAGAAGCAGGCCATTCAGCCCATGCTAGCACCACACGGAGAAATAGGCCCAGGATAGCTACGAATGGCAACTGTAGCTTCTGAAGAATAGAAGTGCTTTTGGATATTAACTCTCCACACAAATAAAAAACAGCCATAGGGATAGAACATCCAACCCTTTCAACTTGTTCTGCCAGTCGGCATAGATTAAGCTTGGGCTTCCCCAGCCATTCCCTGTTCTTCCCGATGACCCCAGGAGACTGGAAATCTGTCTTCTTGCAGAAACACGTTACTAGCGTTGTCTGTTGGGGAGCCAATGGTCTCTTGGCTCCCAGGCATCAAGGGCAACAAATGGATGAACTAGCCATCCCCCCAGCCCCCACCTCACCCGCCCACCGTACCCCAACCAGCGGGTGATGGGCACACTCACCGACCCTTCTCCGGCAGCGGTGCCTGCTTTGCGGTTCCGCTCTCGTGCCTGTTGCCTCTCGTCTTCCTGTAGCTGGAGCCCGGCGATGTGACTCTCCAGGGTCTCCCAGTTCATGATGGGCAGCTCGCTCGCCGCTGCCTCTGGCAGAGAGGTGCACATTGTCAGGGGAGGGGTCCCAAACGGCTTGGCTGACGGTGCCGCTCGGGACCCATGCCCCGATGGGTTGCCCATCGGGCTACGCCCGCCACCCTCTCCCGCTGCCAGGACGCTCGGGCCATCCTGGGCCTGACCCTCGGGCGTTTTCAGCTCACAATCCTGAAAGCCCTCATCGTCAGAGGAGCTGGATCCCAATCTGGCCAGGGGCTTCTGCCCCGCCACCAGGAACCTACCGGAATCCTGCCGCGCTATCACGGAACTGAAGAGTTCACCTCCCGAATCCATACCATAGTTCTACACCTTTTAAAAAAAAAAGGAAGGAGAGAGAAGAACATCCAATTAGACAGAGGCCATGTCAAAGGAATTATAGCCAACAGGTTAATGTTCTGGGGACATCTGTTCAAATCGCACATTGGCAACTAATTGAATTTAAATTCAATCAAATCAAACGTTTCAGCACTTAAAAAGATGGGGTGTATGGACCAAGTGCAGGTAAATGGGACTGGTGTCGTTTGGTGGCCAGTATAGACATGGTAGGCCGAAGGGCCTGTTTCTGTGCCATGTGCTAAATTTGGAATTGAAATCTCGTCCCAATGACAAGAAACCGAATGTTGTAAAAATCTATCTGGGTTCCCTAATGCCCTTCAGGGAAGGAAATCAAATTGTCCTTACCCGCTTTGGCCTACATGTGACTCCAGCCCCACAGCAATGGGCTTGATTCTTAACTGCCCTCTGGTACGGTGGCTCAGTGGTTAGCACTGCTGCCTCACAGCGCCAGGGACCCAGGTTCGATTCCATCCTCAGGTTACTGTCTGTGTGGAGTTTGCACGTCCTCTCCATGTCTGCGTGGGTTTCCTCCGGGTGCTCCGGTTTCCTCCCCAGTCCAAAGATGTGCAGGGTAGGTGTATTGGCCATGCTAAATGTGGGATTATGGGGATAGGGAAAGGGGGAGGGATGCTGTTCGGAGGGTTGTTGAGAAATCAATTGGCTGCATGGCCTCTACCTGCACTGTAGGGATTTTATGAACTAAACAACAAAAAAAAATTTCTGAGCTATGTAAGGAAATATTTGGGACAGCAGATAGGAAACTGGAATTGAAGATTATCAAGTCAGCCATGATCTCATTGAATGGCGGAGCAGATTTGATGGGTTGAAGGACCTACTTCTGCTTCTACTGACAAAGTGGTCAATTTTAAGACGTGTCTTAAAGGAAGAGAGAGACAGAGAGAATGGAAAAGTTTGCTTCCAGAGTTTAGCGTTCAGAGCTGATACAGCAGTACATTGCTCAAAACTGGGGCTATGAGCCTGGAAGACGATACATGTCTAGGAAGGTGTCTGGACTGGAGGAGGTCAAAGGGATCACTTGGTCAGAACATCATGGGTCTAAAGGACGTTAGACCACGAGCGAAAAAAGAAATATCTTGAACAAAATCAAGTACCAGCTGCTCTCAGGGAGAAATGGGTTCTCGAAATCGAAAAGACGTCAGAGGTCAGATGGACTGGTGCTACAACGGTTAAACGACACAGGCAGAGCACAGACACTTGGCTTGTATTCCCTTGATTACAGAAGATTAAGCAGTGATCTGATCATAGCCTTTAAAATGCTTTGACCAGGCAGACAACAGAGAAATAAGGGCCTCCAACGTTTGAAAACCAGAAATAAGGAGCAGAATCTTACATCTCGAGTGAGGCTGTGGAGGTGGGACGTTTCAACCTAAACAGGTTGCGATAAGCACTGGCATTTGTATAGCACCTTCCGCTACCCTCAAAGCACCTGGCTGTCAGTAGGTCACTATCAGGACATGGAAAATGCAACACCCAATTTGCACACAGCAAGCTCCTGCAATCAGTGGTGAGGAATTAAGGTGATTGGATTTCCACTGGATATTGATTCGAGGGATAATTGTTGACCCCAGGAAAATAGGGAGCACACCCAGCATTACCAAACTCTCCCCCACTCACCACTTCCTCTTCAGGGCAAACTTGCCTTTATCGGTGAGTGCATTGAGTATAGGAGTTGGGAGGGTCATGTTGCAGTTGTACAGGACATTGGTTAGGGCCACTATTGGAAAACTGAGTGTAATTCTGGTCTCCCTGCTATAGGAAAGATGTTGTTAAACTTGAAAGGGTTCAGAAAAGATTTACAAGGATGTTGCTGGGGTTGGAGGGTTTGAACTACAGGGAGAGGCTGAATAGGCTGGGGCTATTTTCCCTGGAGCGTTGGAGGCTGAGGGGGGGACCTTATAGAGGTTTATAAAATCATGAGGGGCATGGATAGGGTAAACAGTCAAGGTCTTTTCCCCAGGATTGGGGAGTCCAAAACTAGAGGGGCATAGGTTTAAGGTGAGAGGGGAAAGATTTAAAAGGGACCTAAGGGGCAACCTTTTCGCACAGAGGGTATATGTGTGTGTATGGAATGAGCTGCCAGAGGAAGTGGTGGAGGCCGGTCCAATTATAACATTTAAAAGGTATCTGGATGAGTACATGAATAAGGAAGGGTTTACAGGCATATGGGCCAAATGCTGGCAAATGGGACTAGATTAATTTAGGGTATCTGGTCAGCATAGGCGAGTTGGACCGAAGGGTCTGTTTCCATGCTGTGCCTCTCTATGACTCGAGGGGGTGTGCACAGAGGGCGGGATGGGCTTCATCTGAGGGGTGGCACCTCTGACAGTGTGGCACTCCCTGGGCACTGGCCCAGGGCGTGTGCACCCACATGGGTCATAACTGGAAGTGCCTGGCTGTTTAAGAGGACAGATGCCACAGGATGAGTTTGCAAACAGCTCAGTTTGGGAGCGAAGACAGAGAGGTGGGGGAACATGCGAGGAATTTCAATGGGCAGGTCACACAGGGACTTGATCCCAGCCTCTTGAGAACTGGAGGAATTTGAGGTGGGGGGGGGGGTGGTGACGGCTTGCTTTAACACAGAAAATAAAGTCCCTCCACCCATATATATAAAAACAAACCCCCTCCTGGGTTGGCACTACTGAAACGTGAAGTGGTTTTAAAACGCTTGACTTTTCACTGAATACCATTCAGTTTCCAGGAGAACTGAAATCGAGCCAGCTCCTTCATGGGGCAGGAAATCTCACTGTTCGCGTTGTTTAAGATATTTACACAAACGCATTCCTGGCGCAAAGTGAAATTTCGTTCGGTCTTTTGCAACTTCCGGGTCTTCAAATCTGAGGATTCTTTTTCTGCCCCTTCCCCGTCCAATTCCCGAGGCATGAAACTCACCTAAAGAGACGTGGTTTTCAATCCTGTTGTCAGTGTCTGCTCCAGACCCGAATCCTATCAAAAACTGTAGACCGGCCCAACGCAGAGCAGCCAACTCACTCCTGGATCCCCTTCCTCTTAAACTTATGAAATCAGACTGACGCTTGAAGTTCCTTTCCAACTTTTCCTTGCTTGTTAACTCCTCCCAGTTCACTGCAGAGTCAGGGAACTGTCACTTTCTCTCCACCTCCAGCAATAACTGGGATCTGATAAACTGACCTATCAATCAAGACTTCTCCCAGGGTAAATCCAGTGGAAGATCAGGCCTGCAAATGTAACATTCCCAATGCAGGAATGCTAACAGATACACAAGGTGGAGATGGGGGCACCACCGAAACGTTCGACAGAGCTCGTCATATAGCATGGAGACCGAGTCTTCGGTCCAATGAAACTTGAAAGGGTTCAGAAAAGATTTACAAGGATGTTGCCAGGGTTGGAGGTTTGAGCTACAGGGAGAGGCTGAATAGGCTGGGGCCATTTTCCCTGGAGCATCGGAGGCTGAGGGGTGACCTTATAGAAGTTTATAAAATCATAAGCGGCATGGAGCCAAGGTCTTATTCCCATTGTAGGACAGTCCAAAGCTAGAGGGGCATAGGTTTAAGGTGAGAAGGGAAAGAATTAAAAGGGACCTAAGGGGTGTGTATGGAATGAGCTGCCAGTGGAAGTGGTGGAGGCTGGTATAATTACAACATTTAAAAGGCATCTAGATGGGTATATGAATAGGAAGGGTTTAGAGGGATATGGGTCAAATGCTGGGAAATGAGACTAGATTTATTTAGAATATCTGGTGCATGGACAAGTTGGACCAAGGGGCCTGTTTCGGTGCTGTATGTCTCTATGACTCTATAACTAATCCATGCCATGCTCCCAAACTAAACTAGTCCCATCTGCCTACATTTGGCCCACATCCATCCAGACCTTTCCAATTCACGTACTTATCCAAATGTTTTTTAAACGTTTTAACTGTACTTCCTCTGGAAGTTCATTCCACACATGATCCACTCTGTTTAAAAAAAGTTGCCCCACATGTGCTTTTTAAATCTTTATCCTCTCACCTTAAAAATATGCCCCCTAGCTTTGAACTCCCCCACCTTAGGGAAAAAAAACTCTGGCTATTTACCTTATCTACACCCCTCATGATTTTATAAGTCTCTATAAGGTCATCCCTCAACCTCCGATGCTCCAGAGGGGGGAAAAAAGGTAGATTTAAAACAGCCCTGAAGGAGTAGAGCAGAGGTAAGCAGAGAGATTTACACGGGGAATTCCAGAGCCTGGGGTGCCAAACAGCTGAAGGTACAGCCTTCACCAATGATGGGGGAAATTGAGGGTTTCCCCAAGAGGCCAGGATTGGAGGAATGCAGAAATCTGTGAGTGTAATGGGGCTGAAGTAATGTAGAGATAAGATGCTGATACACGGCCACAGAGGCATTTCAAAGATGAAGAATGACTTCTAGGTTAGAGGACAGACCAAAGTTTGAAGCAGCTTCGATGTAGGTTAGGATACAGAGCAAGGTCAAAATCATGAATGGTAGAATGCCAGCCTGGGACTGTTGGAATAATCAACCCATGATAGGTATTTATAACTGGAATTCACAATAGTATTTGACAGTGACTCAATATCTTGGCGGTGTCCACTGTCCATCACATGCTTCCCTCACAGTGGCTCAGTGATTAGCACTGCTGCCTCACAGCGCCAGGGACCCGGATTCGATTCCACCCTTGGGCGACTATCTGTGTAGAGTTTGCACATTCTCCCAGTGTCTGCGTGGGTTTCCTCTGGGTGCTCCAGTTTCCTCCCACAGTCCAAAGGTGTGCAGATTAGGGTGGATTGGCCATGCTAAATTGCCTGCAGTGTTCAGGGATGCGTAGATTAGGTGGGTTATAGGGGGTTGGGTCTGGGTGGGATGCTCTGAGAGTTGGTGTGGACTTGTTGGGCCATACTGTAGGGATTAAAAAAGAATACTTGGGCATAGACAAGACCAGAGGAAAAGTGGACAGTCATGGACTGGACACATTCCGAACCCATTGCTAACCTTGCAAGATTGTTCAGTCAGGTCAGGCTTCATCACTTTAAGGGAAATGAGACTGTGGTGTCCACCTTTTATAAGGCACAGGTCACAAATGTGAAAGGATACTCTCCACACATCATTCAAAAAGCTCAGCACCATCCAATACAATACAACCCTGGATTGGCACCCCATCCATCATCTTAAACATTCACACTCTCCACGACCAATGCAGAGTGGCAGCACCTGGGAGTCCATCGGTTATGATCCCACAAGGCAGAATTAAGACCAACATTCCCACGACACAACCAAGGGAGTGCTGTGCTGTCTGAGATACCGTCTTTTAGAACAAGATGTTCAACCAAGGCGGCCTGTCTGCTCAGCATCTCCTTCTCGCTGACTGAAATCCATGGGTCATGGTTCGTACACCTCCACCCACCGCACCCCCCACTTCGATTAATCACATCCAAAACAGATCATTTACTGTTTCTGGCACCTTGCCTAACTAAGCAATGACTGGACTTTTGAAATCACTTTAGGATGTGGTAAGAGCCTATTTAAAGTGCAGTCTTTCCAGAATTCCTGAAGGATGAGAGAGGGGTGACAAAAGAAAAAAACGGTTAGGGAGTTACAGAATATGGGAGCATGGGAATTGAAGTTGGCTAGTAGAAATGGTGGTGCAGTGGGAATTAGGTACAATTTGGTAGCAAGGTGCAAGACCAAGAGGAAATTTATTTAGCAGAAACAGGAGGAGCCTATCCCGTCTCTTGTACAAAAGACAACGAGCTGACTTATATCAGTAGCTTGCTTTATCTCTCAGTGCAAGCTGTGTCACTGACTAGAGAAGCCAGACTTGCATATCCAAAACCGAGATCTTTGAGCTGGTCCAACTGTGGCCTCCTGCATCTTCTCTCTCCCTTCACTTCACAACTGATATTGCATGAAGGACCCAAATTCCTTCGATGATCTCTTTAAAACCTACCTCTTCAACGGAGTCTGTCCTAATATCTCGCTTTGTGGCAGCGTGATGAATTTTATTTGATAGTCGGTCTTGTGAAACACTGTGGGACGGTTGGATTGGTTCACGATGCTAAATAAACGCAACTTATTGTTGGCTGAAATCCTGCCTTTGCACTCACCCTTGCTGGCCACGAGATGGTGTCTCATACTCACTGCAAGAATGTGTTCAGTCAGCTTTTGGGATGAAGCTGGATTTGACAGTCCCAGTTCTGTGGCTGACAGTGATTCTACACAATACTTTGTCTAGGTGCTTTCAGAATAACATTTAATTCATTGCTCATCACTTGTCACCCTGATAACTGACCATTCCTGTATTGATATCATGACACATACCACAGGCAAGCTCACAAAAAAGGATAAGAAAATATTAGGGATAGGTGACCAAAAGCTGGTCTTGAACATGAGAAACTTGCAGGGTCACTGACAAAAGGCTGGAAGGTGGAGTGGAAGAGAAGCACAACTTCACAGGACTAGCACAGGCACAAACAGGTTGATTGGTCTCATCTGGCACCATACTTTCCCACAAAGGGGACAAGACAGAACTCAAGGCCAAACAATTAATAGTGAATTCCTCCAGCAAAATGCAGCCAGTGGAGGATAATACAAATAAGCAAAGAAATACCCATGCTAAATTTGATCTGCAAATTTTTTTTTTTTAATTCATGACATATAAAACTGTACAAAAATCAAACTCTTTCCAAACATCCCCAGGCAACATGCCATAGGTATTAAAATACTAAGATATTAAGATACAGGAAGACTCCTGACTGAAATCCCCAGCACATGCTATAAACAGTTAACAAGCTCAGTTAAAGTGGATGAGGGGAACCACCTCATCAATATCAGTGTGAGATAGTCAGTCTAGGTCACCCCTGAACAGACTGTTAGTTTTTCTAGATTTATGTTTACGTTTCCAGGCTTGCCATTATTGCCCCAAGTGAGAGATATTTCCATTCCTTTCCCCTATCCTCGTACAGCAACTCTCCCCCTCCCAACTCAACCAAGCAGAGCAGTGACAAAACAGAATGGGCCTACTAAACCGGCTGTTTCTTGGGCGATGGTAGGAAACAAGCTAAAGCCCGACCCCATGCACACTGGCAACGGGCATCCAGACAAGGTGGATGCCCATTTCCCACCCACAAGGAGAGGACTCTGTGCCACCAGGTCAGATCAATGCTCTACACTTGCTCTCACCCCAATCTCTTGGTGCAAGACTACAGGTTGCCTTTAACACATGGGTGGGAAGGCAAAGGAGTTTGGCCACAATGGCACAGATTTCTGCAATCGTGTGGAAAATGCCCATCACTTTGTCACTTTAAGGACACCACTGGGAGCAAGTAGGTAGGACAGGCATGACAAAGAATTCACTCCAGTGATAACAGACTTCTTTTTAATATTAAAAATAGTACATTTCTGAAACGGATAAAACTCCACACAACTTATTCAACAGATCGAGAACGAAGAGATCTCTGTGGGGATAGAAAACGTCCCTCCTAACTGTATGTGAACCAACCCAGTTCCAATAGGGGCTGCCTATATGTGCAGCTTATCCAATCGTCCATTTGTACAATTTGGGACCAATGCATTGGAAAAGAGTTCTCAATACTGTCCTCAATATCCTTGTCTGTTATTAATGCTGCACCTTTCCACTACTGCCTGGCAGTGGGCAATCTGTAACTCCAGCCTCTCTGCTCCTAAACCCACCCACTGTGCCTCCTCCAACTTGCCCTCTGCTCCCTAGGGCCGTCCCCTACACACTCTTGAGGGTTGGATGGAAATGGAAGTCAGGAAGACTGGATCAATTGTGTCGCTTCCTGGCCCCAAGCTCAGTGAGACCTCGCGCCGTTCCCTGGAGGACTAGGTCTGATCTAAGCTCCAGTTTGACCTCAGAAGACTGTGAAGAGCAATGGTGAGGGAGGCCAGCAACTCTAATAACTTGTTATGAGCCACAGCCGAAGTGAGCTGTTCTAAAGGCTGGTTAGATTTGGCCCTGTTCAGGCCCCAGTAAGCTAGAACTGATGGTTATTGAAAAGAGCCCAGGATCCCTGCCTTGCTGTCTGCAGCTGCTGGTTACAGGACCCCTGTCAAAGAAGGAGCCCCATCTGCAGTCAATTAAATCTCAGCCCCAAGCTCAGCTCCCTGGCCGTGACTTCAACCAATGTTGTTTCTGGAAGCAGAGCTCCGAGGTCTCCCTGCACAGGCCAACTGCAAAACGTCATCGCCCTTGTAGCCAATTCCTGTGGTGTGTTGTTTTGAAAAAAGCAAAAGACCCAGAGTTGCAGAATATGATCCATTCCTCAAAATTATCAAAACATTCCCATGCTATTGGAGGGGAAATTTAATGTGTCCACAGGAGTGCCCCTTGATTAGAGGGAATGTCGGCCTTTTGTGGATTTGTAGGCAATGGAAAACAAGGTGAATCGCTCACCATAGAAGCTGGTTTTAAAAAAAACCCACAAAAATATAAACAGAGTAACTTTATTCAAACTGCATGTAAACCTCTGGCGCCGGTCGGTGTTTTTCAGTTCCGTGCTTCTGTGAATAGGTCACTTGTGAAATGATGTACACCACTCTACAGCAAGTAGCCTTGTGCTTACACCAAGGCAAAGTGCCCAGTTTAAGCTTTTAAAACCATACAACTATGAACAGAGGGGAGATACTTTCACGTGTAAATGAAGACCCCAAACAAGACAATGGCTGTAAAATTAAATAAACAGACAGTTCAGGGAAGGTTCACTTGGCCAATTCCTGGGATAAAGGAATTTGGCCTAGGAGGAAAAGCTGAGTTGGAGTTTAGAAGAATGAGAGGTGATCTTTTTGAGACATAAGATGCTGACGGGGCTTGAGGGATAAATCACCGAATCACTACAGTGTGGAAGCAGGCCATGCGGCCCATCAAGTCCACACTGACCCTCCGAACAGCATCCCACCCAGACCCACCACATCCCTGTAACCCTGCATTTCCCAAGGCAAATCCACCTAACCTGCACATCTTTGGAGGAAACCAGGGCACTCGGAGGAAACCCACACAGACATGAGGAAAATGTGTAAACACCACACAGACAGTCTGCCAAGGCTGGAATCAAACCCGGGTCCCTGGTACTGTGAGGTAGTAGCACTAACCACTGAGCCACCGTGCTGCCCAGCGAAGAGATGGTGAAAGGACATTTCCCATCGTGGGTCAGTTTCAAAATAAGGGGTTTCCCCACTCTTAGAGGTTGTAAGTCTTTGGGATTCTCTTCCCCAAAGGCCAGTAGAGATTGGGTCACTGAACGTATGTGACACTGAATCAGACAGACTCTTGAATCACAACGGAGTTAGGGCTTATTTAGGGGATGTGAGGGGGAGAAATGACAGAAAAATGGAGTGACGGTCACAGTTACATCAGCCATGATCTAACTGAGTGACAGCGCAGGCTCAAAGGGCCCAACAGTTTCCTCCTGCTCCTAATTCTCACCCTAACTAATAAAGTCTGGTGAATATTCCTGCTTTTTGTTTTGTTTGTGCGAGATGAAGTCTGAGTTCCTGGAGGCTGGTAGAAGTGAGTAGGAGCATCCTCAATCTCCAGCCAATGAATTCGGCCTGGGACCAGCACAGCAAAAGAGACACCACCTGTACTACACCCTGTTCCTGCTCCTTTTCCTAATATTCTTATCCAATAAAAAAAATCAGGAGAAATTACCTAGGGAGGGGAGAAAATGGAGAATTTGCTAATGCAGGGAGTGGCTGAGATGAATAGCATCAATGGATATAAAGGAAAGGAGGATAATCCTACAAGGAACAGAGGAATAGGGTGATCAGTGAGATAAAGAAAGGGTGGAGTGTAAAAACCTGTTGGGCTTGAATCCTTCCCTCTGCTCCCTGCTGTCTGCAGAGTGCAAGAGATCTTAAACACAGCCCCAGTTTATCCCTTTCAATTCAGAAATCCTACAGGGCAATCCCCATGGCTTCTCCCATTGCATGTCACTCAAACTGGTCCTCAGGGTGCAGCTGGCCACTGCATTGTCTGCCTGTCCATTCAACAAAGCCCAGCGCTGAACTGAAACGAGGTAAAAGATACAGAGAACATTAAAGAGCTGCCCAGTATTTAAAAGGAACGTGTAATGATCAGGTTCCACCGCAGGAGGACTCTGTTTGAAACGATAACCCATCCAGCCTCTCGGCTGCACTGTTGTCTTTTCCAGATATCAGCATTTAATTGGAGGGGATGAGAGTGGGGGAGATGTGGGGATCAATTCAGTTCAGCATAGCTGCTGAGGGTGATTCCTTGAGAAGCTGGGCATCCTCTGCTAAGTATTCGAAGTAACTGCTGCAAACGGCACTCCTCTGGCCTCCTCTCACTGACATTTCATCTAATGTACAACTTCATCCATTGATTCCCCGGTGAGGTTGGACGATAAATCCATCATCCAAAGGTCACTGACCCTCTTACTCTCAAAGCTTTCTGAAAATATTGTGCTTGGCAGCAGGAATGTATACAGAGACTGGAAAACTGATCAGCCAGACTCCATACTGTCCCAACAGACACTCCCAGGGCAGGTACAGCACAGGGTTAGATACACAGCAAAGCTCCCTCTTCACTGTCTCCCATCAAACATGCCTAAGACAGAGACAGCACAGGGGTAGCTACAGAGTAAAGCTGCCTCTACACTGTGCCCATCAAATACCCCTTGGGCAGGGATGGCACGGTGTGATACACAGTAAAGCTTCCCAGACACTGTCCCCATCAAACACTCCCCATGCTGTGGCAGCCTGGGTCACACTGCTTGCTTTAGTGACGATCTACAGCACAATTTCAAATCATCATCGTTCTCTCCTCTCTGCCCAATGGCATTAACATTTCTGCCACTCCCAAAGCCCAAGAGACCCTGAAAGTAAACAGAGGGCAGCCTTTCCCTCATCTCTTGGAATGAGTGAAAGACAACTTGTAACTCAAGCAAGAAGCCTTCAGAGAGCGGAGGATAGGTCAATCTCCCAGACCTAAAAAAAACTAACACAAGGAAAGTAACGTTACCTCATTCAACCGGGCCCGATTTTATTTTGTCGCAATACGCAGATGCTCCAGCCTAACCTCAATCCATGTAAGGCAGCACTGGGTCAGTCCAGCTCCAAGACAGAGCCCTTGCTTTGTGAACCACTTCCCAGGCTGCTGGCCTGGGTTGCTGGGGCAGGCCGCTGGGAGCAAAGCCATAGCTTCAAGGAGTTCTCAGCCCTGATGTTGCGGTGGGTCATCAGGATCTCATTGCCCTCATCCTCGCTCTCAGCAGGTTCCGGGAACTTGCGCTGCCCTGAGGTAGTGGCCAGCAGGTTCATGTGTGGGTGCAGGCTGCGAAGGGGGTGCAAACAACTGGGGGTCAGAGGTTCAACGTGTGAGGCAAACAGTAGAATATTGCTGAGACTGCCAGCGCCTACAATAACACAATAACTTAAAGGGCGCATTTCAAACCATCCCGACTAACATAATTCACTGCAGTGCTAACCAAACCGAAACTGAGCCACTTGAGACAATGTCAGGACAGGCGACCAACAGCTTTGCCCAAAAGGTAGGTTTTAAAATGGGTCTTAAAGGAGGAAAGAGATGGAGAAGAGGTGGAGGGATTTAGGAAGGGAATTCCAGAGCTCACAGCCCAGGCAACTTAAGGATGGCTGTCAATGGTGGAGCCATTGAAATAAGGGATGTGCAGAAGATCAAAATGAGAGGGGTCAGAGACCTTGGAAGGCCTTCAGACTGGAAAAGGACAGAGCTAGGGAGAGATGAGGCCACTAAGAGATTTTACAACAAGGATCAGAACTTTTGTATCGGATTGCTAGACTGACAGCGAGTGTAGGTCAGTGAGTACAAGATTGGTGGGAAATAGGACAGGGTGCAAATTAGGAAGTGGACAGTCGCAGGTAAGCTCAAATTTTCAGACAGTTGAAAGGCTGGTTATGAACATATTGGACAATTCAAGCCTTGAGGTGACCAAGACATGGATGGGGCTTTCAGCTGCAGATGAGCTGAAACAGGGAAGAAAGTTCGTGGTGTCACAGATGGTGGAAGCTGACTGTCTTGAATGATAGGAAGGAAATACATGAGTTTAACTCGGCAAAAATAAAACTTCAGTGGCTCCCTGGACAGTTTGCTAACAACTAAACAAATCTCAACCTGTCAACTTTGCTCAGGATCTTAGCTTCGGATCTTCTTTTTAAACCCCGACTGGGAATGCTGCGCACCCCTCTCTCTCTCTCACTCTCCAGGTACCCCCTCTCAGCACCACCACCGCACCTCACAAACAGCTTCCACTGAGTAAATAGTGCAGCTTACCTGATCCCGTTAACGCAGTCCTGCTGAGTGTGAAATTGAAGAATGGGATTGAGGACAGGGTCCGGCCCCTCTGTCGGTGTTAACGTGGTGTCCCACACAGAAACCGTTCCCTCAGTATTCCCGCTGACTACATAGCGCCCATAACTGCGGAGAGAGAGAGGAAACAGAGCTGTCAATTCTTTGCACAGCAAGGTCACACAAGCATTCAGGTGATAATGATCAGATTGGCCTTAGAGGGTTAGTTAAAGGATAAATATTGGCCAGGACAATATGGGGAGAACTGCCCTGTCTTGTCTGAAAAGAGCTTTGAGAGATTTTGTTTGCATGTCCACATTTAAGATCATGGCTGATCTGACTGTGGAATCAATCCCACTTTCTTATTTGGCCCCAATCAGCCTTGAACATATAAGTCACCCAGCCTCTACCACTCACTAAGGAAAAGTATTCCAAAGACTAACGATCCTCAGAAAAAAAAAACTCATCTCAGTCTTAAGAGACAGACACCTAATTTTGAAATTGTGCCTCGTAGATCTAGTTCCGCCAAAAGGGGCAAATATCTTCCCAACATCTACTGCATCAACCCTGTCCCACTCCTCCCAAGAATCAAAAAATGCCGAGCTGGAAAAGCACAGTAGGTCAGGACTTGAGGAGCAAGAAAGTCAACTTTCGGGCTGGAACCCTCCGACCTGCTGTGCTTTTCCAGCATCTACCTTCCAGCATCAGCAGTCCTTTCTGTCTCCTCCTCCCCCCCAGAATCTTAAATGCATCAATAATCATTCTTCTCAATGTCAACCAGTTTCGGTTCAACCTGTTCAAACATCCCCCATGCAGTATTCCTACAATACTTGGGAATGGCAGCACAGGTCATGTACTCAGGAGTCTGGAGTGGAACCTGAGCCAGCTTTGCCTGATAACTTTCACCATTGTAAATTGCCATGTCAACACTCAATGTTACTGTCAATGGTCACAATGTAGTACAAGACTGTTCACCAGGGGGCAATCTGGAGCACATCTGCTGGTCCAAATCCCATCCATCCCACTGGCTGATCAGTGGGGGCTTGCAGCCTAGCCACAGCACTGGCCATAAACATCGTATCGAAAACCAAACTCTTACGGTCACTAACTGACCATGAACAACTCACAAAGAAAGATTTAAAGAATTACTCACATATCCAGATCAAAATACATCCTCTGATTAGTCGTCGCTGAGCGGACCATGGAGAACAGCACTTTGCCAGGCTGGCGTAGGTCCCAGCACAGGATTTCGGGATCCTTAAGGAAACATGAGAAAAAAAAGAGTACTTTGAAAAAGGGCTGTGGGAAACGGGACCAAGTTCAGGGTAGTGAATCGTAAATAAGGAACAGTACTCAGGGAGTCTAGCAAGTCGACTGCAGGGATAGAAAGTGGTATCAGGGTGTGATATAAAACAGATGGCTCCCCAATCACACTCCAGGACCAAAGCACCATAAAGCAGAGGAGATCATTCAGCCCATAGTGCCTATGCTGGCCCTGTGACACAGTTTTTCCCATTAATCCCATTCCCTTTCTCTTTTCTCCCATAGGCTTACAAAAACTTACCTTTAGAAGGGTCAATCCAACTTTCACTTAAAAGTATCTATCAGATCTGCTTTCAGAAGTGTGTTCCAGATTACAACAACTCACAGTGTTAAAAAATACTCTAATTTCCTTCACTGTTTCTTTAGCTCAGTTGGCTGGATGGCTGGCTTATGGCATAGAGTGGTGCGAACAGCATGGGTTCAATTCCCACACTGGTTGAGGTTACCATGAAGGACTCTCTATCTTAACCTCTCTCCCCTCCCTGAGGTGTGGTGACCCTTAGGTTAAACTGCCACCAGTCAAAACTGAATGGCGCGGAAACAGATCCTTCAGTCCAATTCGCCCATGCTGACCAGATATCCTAAATTAATCTAGTCCCATTTGCCAGCATTTGGCCCATATCACTGTAACCCTTCTTATTCACATAGCCATCCAGATACTGCTTAAATGTTGTAAATGTACTAGCCTCCACCACTGCCTCTGGCAGCTCATTCCATACACACACCACCCTCTGCGTGAAAAAGTTACCCCTCAGGTCCCTTTTAAATCTTTCCCTTCTCACTTTATACCTATGACCTCTAGTTTTGGACTCCCCTACCGTGGGAAAAAGACCGTAGCCAACCATCTCTTTCTCTCTCTAATGAGAGAATAGCTCTATGGATCTGGTACAGGTATAGCAATGTTACCTTTACCTTGGCAATTATTATAAATCTGCATCCTCAATTTACTTTCCCACTGCCAGTGAAGACAATTTCTTCTTATTCAATCTCATCAAAGCTGAATTTTTGAATACCCCAATTAAGTCTTCCCTTAACCTTCTCTTTGCCAAGCAGAACAATCTCAGTTGCTGCAGTCTCCCCACATTCTCTGTCCCTGACACCATTCTGGTAAATTTGAACTGCACCTTTACCAAGGTCATGACACCTTTCCTGAATTTTTATACACAGAATCAAAATTGCCTGTTGTGGGGATTAGCATGACTTCCGCACTAGTATCATGACCGTGGGATCACAACCTCAGATTACTAACAGACATACTGAACGTTTAATTCCAATGTGCGCTTTCCAAAGAGGGCTGCTAGGACTGAAATGACTATGGATGGTGAATTCGATGGTGGGATGGGGGGGAAGAGAGAGAGGGAGAGAGGGAGAGAGAGAGAGGGAGAGAAGGAAGGGAGAGAGAGAGATAGAAGGAGGAGACAGAGAGAAGGAGGAGAGAGAGAGGAGGAGGAGAGAGAGAGGAGGAGGAGAGAGAGGAGGAGGAGAAGAGAGAGGGAGAAGAAGGAGAAGACAGAGAAAGAAGGAGAAGACAGAGAAAGGAGGAGGAGAAGAGAGAGAGAAGGAGGGGGAGAGAGAGAGAAGGAGGGGGAGAGAGAGAGAGGAGAAGAGAGAGAGAGACAGGAGGGGAGAGA